CTACGAATTGAAATAAAGGATTCAGTTTTCGCAGTCAAGAAAGAGAGTGAGGAGAGTTCGGGTGATCTCTTGGACAAATCACCCATTAGGAGAGTTCGGGTGGTCTCTTGGACAAATCACCCACGAGATAGTCAAAATAGGGCCTGTACGCAAGGCCAAGGGCAAGGAAAGATCTGAGGTTCCTGCAGTGGAGCGACCCGTGACGCGATCCTACGCTCGAGCCCATAACAATTTGGTATCAGAGCCAAGCGTCATGGGCGACGTCGAGCAGCTATCGTCCAAGGTTCACGAGCTGGAACACCGTCTCGTGGAACAGCACGCGGAGGTAAGAGAAGTCAAAGAGGACATCAGGGAACTTTGGCGTCTACTGGAGTTATACTTCTCCACCAAGGAAGGGAGCCCTGAAGGGGCAGCCACTAACCACAGCCGTTGCACAGATCGGGCAGAGGGCTCCGGTGAGCGACAGAACAACACACCGACAGCTGCAATCATACCCAAATACAGTCATCTGGAGTTATAGTGGCAGCGGTGACCCACTTGGATGGCTGTACCGCTGTGAGCAATTCTTCTGCAATCAGCGCACGGAAGAGAAGGACAAGGTCAGCCTAGCAACATTCCACTTGACCGATGAAGCACAGCTCTGGTTCTACCGAGTGGAGCAGGATGAACCAGGCCTTAGTTGGGGCCAGTTCAAGTCGTATTGCCTCCTCCGATTCGGGCCCCCATTAACGAGCAACCCCTTGGGGGAGCTCTTTAACCTCAAGCAGACCGGGACCGTCGTGGAATATCAGCGGCAGTTCCAGACCCTTCTCGCCAGGGCCTCGTCAGTACGCCCAGACCAGCAGGTGGATATGTTCACAGCGGGTCTAACCGAACCCCTGAGAGTTGATGTGGAGATGCACATGTCGCCTAACCTGGTCACGGCAATGAATTTGGCCCGGGCCTTCGAGCGCAAACTACAAATCCGCCGAGGGCCGTTCAGCATGGGATGCCCAGCAGCGGCTTGGACAAACCCGAAGCCTACTGGAGGAGGGTCTTCGCTGGCAGCCAACATGGAACCACTCGGAATGGCTCCATATCCAGCAGTCAACCCAGAACGGAAGCCACAGACGAGCACCAATTCCAGATCAACATCCAATGTGGGGAGTAGCGGAAGTACACCCCCTATTAAGCACTTGTCCAAGGCGGAGATGGCAGAACGCAGGGCAAGGGGGCAATGTTTTAATTGCGATGAACTCTACTCAGCAGGGCACAGGTGCAAGAGACTTTTCTGCCTCCATGGGAACCCGATCCAGGACGGCAAAGCCATCCAGGATTCCTTTGAGGGTGTCTTCGACACCCAATTCGAGCTTGAGGACAAGCTCGTAGTCCGGGAGGGGTGTGATGTTATGCTCACACCATCCGGCAGTGCACTACGGCACAGTCATAGGCAGCAGCACGCACAGC